CAAAAGGTTATTTTTTATTAGAGATAATATAACAATATAATAAACTGTTTCTATACAATTATTTATCATGGATTATTTTTAGATATTTAGACTTTTTGAGTAGTATGAATAAGTTCAAACAATTTCAAAACAATGTGTGGGTTAGCCCAACGCCCCAGCCTTAGATTATTTCAAAAAATTAGTTAATCACCCATCCGTTGCATGGGATGTTATTTTTTATGCTTCTAATGGTTAGATAGTGAAAAATATTTACATATTAAGTAGTTAGATATCTAAAACAATAATAAGACATAATTAATACATAAATGATTGATATATAAGAATGAAAGTGAAAAAAATCATAGTAATGACACGTTAGATAAATTTTAAATGCTTATCTGATGACAGGTAATTTGTTAATGCACATTGTGTGTGAAAGAAACTACTTGTTACACCAAATAAAAAGTCAACAAATGAAAAAGTACAACATCTCAGTGAACATTATAGTAAATTGTCATTTGAAATGGTGATTTTTGTCTCCCCATCATTATTCTCCATAATTATTCTATCTCTTATAGAAATGATCCGTTATGCAAACCCATTAAACTTGTTATTCATATTGAAAGAATTTATTGACAATAGTCTCATGTTCTTAGTTAGAGTCATCAATCTACAATCCTTTCATATATAAGATGAGTTAATGAATGCAAAACCAATGTCATTTCGCCTACCTATAGGTATCACTATAAGTTTTTGATTGAAAACCCCACCAAAAACTATAACATTGCCACCTAATGGCATGTCAATGACATATAAGCATTTTAAAACTTTAAAAATATCCCTCAGTGTTTTGTCAGGAGCTTTAAAGCAATACGTGCTTGCCATTGACACCTCATCCTATATTATCAATGAGTGTGTGAACTATCAACTCTACAAGATGATTTCCTTGTTTTATGCTACAAACTAAATCTTCGTCAATTGCAAGAAGTATACAAGATTGAGAGTATGCAATTTTTCCACCAAGTAGCAATAGTGAGGCTATTCCATTTGATGCAACATTTGAAATAATCCTATAACTTGATCTTGGAGAGATTGACAAAGTATTCCAAGTATAGGTTCTACCAATGTCACCGTAATCATACAAAAAAAAACTAACATTCACAATGTCAACCGAGCCCACAGCAACATCATATATATTATGTTGTTCAAGTGTCAGTGATTCCAATAACCTAGGTAGTTCATTAGTAAGCGCAACCTTATTATAGTTTAGTTGGTCACGAATCAACTTGTTACCTTACAACTCTACGCTTGAAATTTCAGGAAGTGGCATTAGACCGCAACAACTTCTTAATTTCTAAAAGGGCATGATTGTGTAGTTTAATAAATATGCTTATTTAATTAATGTGGCACTTCTTTATTTTTTATTAATATGCTTATTCAATTCTCCTAAAAGATTAGAGAAGAATATGGTAAAATAAATAATGTTCTTGAAAATCTTTGAATGATAACATAATAAATGGGTATAATTTGATAGTGGTCTATATTTACCATTGACATTTTTTCAAAGGTGAAATCATATTAATTTCAGGTGGCAATTAAATTTATTTGATGTGTATCCAAATTCATGCCACATTACAAATACAAGTTAACCCCTAGTATTAATTGACATTAATTACCTCTCAATTTATGAATATAGATTTATTTAGATTTTGGTTGAACATTTAGTTAAGGTACAAACTTTATTTTTTATTAATATTTTTATTTAATTCTCTTAAAAGATGAGAGGAGAATTTGGTAAAATAAATAATGTCTTTCAAAATATTTGAGTGATAACATGATACATGGATATAATTTGACAATAATATATATTTACCATTGGCATTGCATCAACTTAATTTTATGAATTATAGGAGGCAATTTATTTCAAAAGTCAAATAATGCCCTTAGAAATGACTTTTTGCATTCATGGGGTTGCTTGACAATTTTTTAGATGTTTACACTAATGAATTCATAGATGATTGAAAAACTAAACAACAAAAGCTGGCAAGACTAAATAGGCCTATAAAACAACTGTTTAATGTATTAATAACATAAAATACTAATAGAGCTTATATGAATGAATCACTAAACAAAACATCTGACCAAAATGTCATGAAATGAGATCTAAAAATATCCTGCAAAGAACTACTTCAATCGAGAGACATACAACGATGGTAAGATGATGCACTACTATTAGAACTATGTTTAAGTGCATATTTATGACGGCAAGCACACTTGAAGTAGTCTACATCAGGATGGTCAGAATTCTATAACACACGAGTTGCATTGTGGTAACTCCTAAAAACAACCATGCCTAAAAAGTAAAATAAATAATCAATACATGATTAGTTAAATTAATTAAATGGTGATTAAATTAGTCCAAACATCACATAGAAAATCACCTCTGGTCTTGTTAAGAAGAGCAAATTGCAAAAAAAATAATGACATGACTCTTGTCTTTGATAGACTTGTACTCATTAAACACCCACTATGCAGTAGACTCACAAAGGATGCAATCAAGTATTTGAGCAATCAAGTCAAATAACATATACACATATAAATATACTCCCTTTGATCCTATTTATAATATATCTTCTAGAAGTAATTTTTGGTCTAAAATACAGAACACTTTATAATAATTAAATCACTTTTTTAATTTTATCCTTTCTTGATTAACATGAATGTATTTAATATAGTTGTATTAATATTTAAAGTCAAGAGGAAAGATAAAAATACCTCTTACTTTTTTATGATATTAAGAAAAAAAACTAATTTTTCTTAATATGTGTGAAACGGTTAAAAGTATTCTATAATAAGAATCTGAGGAAGTACATAATTAATGCACAAATAATTTGACACATATAGACAAAAGATGAATTTGATTGATTGCCTTTGACTACTATCACCACAAACCCCCTACATCAGTGATTGTATTTCCATTAGTTTATGCATTTAAATTACCACAAATTAATCCCTCCATTAACGACCATATTTCCATTAGTCTCATGATATGAAATCAATAATTTGTTTTGTCCTGTCCCCGAGCCAAATTTGTTTGAGGTTTACATTGGAGGTGTCACGTGTCAGCATGGGAGAATTTTGTAGAGTTGATGTGGCTGCGTCATATGCTAGCAAGTGCACTTTGGGATCTTGATTTTATATATATACTAATTAATCACCTGTATGTTGCATGGGATGTTATTTTTGCAACTTCTTTTAATTGTTAGATGGTAATAAGACATTAAGTAGTTATATGCCAAAAGCAATAATAAGACATAACTACTTGATAAATGATTAAAATTTAAGAATGACAATAAAAAATTGTGGTGATAACATGATAGATAAATTTTAAACACCTATATGATGACGAACCTAACAACCTATTTATAGTAAATAAAGAAAAGTAGATAATTTGTAAAAATAAATTGAGGGTAAATGCAACCATTTGTTACACCAAATAAAGAGTTAAAAAAGTTAAACAAGACAAAAAGTAAAGTAAAGCACCTCAATAGATAGGTGTCTGACATACATTAGTTAGATTGCTGAAAATCTTTCTATAAACTACATTTTTGGTAACATTTTTAATAAATGATTAATATTAGTTAGATTGTCATACATTTGCATCAAAATTATTTTTTGATATGGAAAATCAAGTCAAAGGCCCCACAACAATTGCAATTACCTTAAAGTCACACCAATTATTAAAATTATTTTGTAGTCCTAAGATCCTAAGATATAAATAACTATTCAACAAAATTAACCCTTTTGCCTTTCTCTTAGTTCCAGGCTGCCACTATAATCTTTTTCCCTAATTTTCCAATTTTTCAATTTTCCTCGAGCTGAAGCTTCAAAGAATGACCTGTGGTGTGAGAATGTGAGATTTGATTTATGTTGAATAGGCATTTTGTTGAACACCTTCTTGGCAATATCACATTTTCCAAGTTTCATAATGCTTTCAATTATTAAATTCATTGAACAGATCAACAAATGAACATAAACCCAACCTATAACTTGATGGGTAATATGATTATATCGAGGCGAAGATGCGCATACATCAAAATTAAGGGTGCCACAAGAGATGAGTAGGTTCCATATTCAAGTATACTCTTGCGTGGGTTTTAGCTGCAGTTTTAAAATTCTTAAGAAATTCTACAAGTTTCAAGAACACAACAGAGAACCTTATGACCAAGAAGAAGATATATTTGAAGGGGATTTTTCTTTTAGAAATTTATAAGCCAGGACAAAACTTGAAGATTTCAGGAAATAAAAGGAGCAATGAAAAATACCAGTGAGGGAATCATGTGAGTCAGATGGGGATAAGAATCCTTCCAAAGACCCAACTTTGGCCAACTTGCAAGAGGTTTGAAGAAAATTTGCAATTGATTTATCAATGTGAGATTGGATTATATAAATAGCTCAATGTATATATATGGTAGGTATATTCATGAAGCTTCCAATTTCAGACACCGAGATTGTTCAAAAACATATTAATTTGGCGGACATTAAATGAACTCCTCAATTAACGGCAACTAGGTAACTTATTTTCCAAGTCTCATACAAAATCCACGTTGATATAAAAAATTATATGCAAAGAATTATTTGTATTGAAAATTACCGTGCATGTTATAATAGATAAAGAAATAAGTAGGTATGTCAATTACCACACCCAATATTTTTAATTTTTTTTTCCTGTTGGGTGACAATTTTTAACATTACAATCAATTAAAAAATATCCTCACAAAATGGATTCAGTAATCATGATCATAATTATGCTGCAATCAAATGGATCCATGCATTTAATATGCCCTCAAATTTATCCCATGATTATATAATTACCATAAAAGATGATTATCGAATCCAGAAATTAATTCATGATCATAATTATTATTGAGAAAATATTCAGCCCATACACGCGTATCAACACGAGAAAACATAGAAGCTAATGTGGGCATCATAATAAGTCGACAAGTGTGCTTGGACTCCTGGTTTTGTATATTTAGATGTTTAACTATGCGGTCAAGGAGTTGAAACCCTAGTCGCCACACTATTCCCCCACCGTCGACGCCGCTCTCTTCACGGCTAAGGGGTCCGCTGCCCACGCTGTTGCTCCGCCTCCTCTGGCCTCGCTGGCAGATCCCCATTTCCTTCCCAGTGCACTTGACTAATTCATTCCTCCGCCATTCCGCCTCCGCACATGCCGTCGACATTTGCCTTTCCTCGTGCGTCGTCGTGCTCAGTCATGTGCCGAGTCTGTGCGTTTTCTTCTTCTTCAATTTTTGTTTTTTTTTTGTTTTTTGATTTCTCTGACACTGAAGTCTAAAGCTGTGTCTTGCTCGTGTTCTTGTGAAATAATGCTGCTACTGTGGTAGATGATTGTCTTCTGTACTTGTTGTGGGGGTTTGTTTTCCTTATTCATCCTCTTTGAATTATTATTTTAGCCAAACGTCATTCAGGAAACTGATTTGTGTTCGGGCTTATTCAACCGACCAACCGTGTACCCGCGCGAATTTCCGGCTTTACCCCTTTATTTTCCGGGATCAATCCCACGGGTTCTCTTGAAATTTCAGGGTCAAAAGACAGAAAGAGTAATATTTGAAGAAGCGCAGGAAAACTGCAAATGCCTATATAAACTCGTTAACTACCGACAGCATTTCGCCTCCTGATTTCCTCTTGGCTTAGATCACTGAGTTCATCGATGTGTTCGGCGTTCCAGCTTTCGTTTCTTGGGTAAGCAATATAGCGAAAGCACCTGAGTGGCCATGGCTGATTTTCAAACTTCTACACACCGCGCCAAGTGGATTTTCTCTCCTCCTCAACTGGTGCTTTTCCATGCTCTCTTTAATTTGTCTTGATTTTTAGCTTACTTTTTGTGCAAAAGTTCAAGGGTTTCTGGTGCATATCATATGCATATTATTGCTGAAGCGTGTGTTTTTTCTTTTTAGGCTGACAAATATAAAGCTGCTAATCAGAGAGCAATACAAGTTTTAGAGAAGGTATGGATATTTCTTCTTCTGATATACCCACCCTCCACCCACACAAATAAAAAGGGTAGCAGCAGTGATGCTTACTAATTAAAAAAAAAAAAAGAAGGTACTAAAGGATAGTCTCTTGCCTATTTTATGTTGGTGGGGGTAATAACCTAGAATTTTGCAGTTCTAATCAAATAAAGTATAAGCACGCAAGTTAGGGAGGGATTAGAAGAAAACATGTACCTTGTTAAGTTTAGAGACATCTTCACTGGTTTCCAAGAAAATGGATTTGCTAGAAGTTTCTTCTTTATCTTAATCTCATTCAGATATTTTTTAAATCATGATATTATTTATAGTATGTTACAGTAAGTTGAACTTACATGTCACCTGTATATCATTAGAACTTCTCTCCCCCTCTTTTTTCAACTATATTGTCTTACTACAATGGAACTCCTTACAGAAGAATATTCTATGATATCATTTGGAACTTTATTATTTGGTCACTGATGACTACTGATTTTTTTGAAGTATGGAGCAACTCTTATGGAAGTAGATGTTGATGGGTCTCTGTCATATCCTTTACTCCAGAAGGATGATGGTAATTTCTGGAAAATCGGCTCATATCTTCTTACATTCTTGCAGTCAGTATGTCTTGCTTCAGAAGTACTTCATTAGATTCTTGTGCCTCCTGATACTTGTTTGAATTCATAACTGTTGACAAGGTTGCTATTCTTTATGTCAGCTGAAAAGCATTCTCGCCCTAAACCCCTTAGTATTGAAGAGGAACAATGTATCAGAGTATTTTACGAGAACAAATTACAAGAAGTGTGCAACAATTTTCACTTTCCTCATAAAATCCAGGTATGCATTATTGTAACTTAAGGAAAGACTATTAACAAGTTAGCTGTGACAATGTGTTCTATAATTAACCTTTGAAATGATTTATTTATGTGCAGGCTACAGCGCTCATTTATTTTAAAAGGTTCTATCTACAGTGGTCCGTGATGGAACATCATCCAAAAAATATAATGTAAGATTGGCTTAAATCAATGTGAGGGTTCTGAGCAGAGAGTGAATTATGCTCATTGTTTGCTATGATATTTTAAACTCTGCCTATGTTTATAGCCGGTCCCAAGCCCGGGTAAAGGAGGAGGGTTGTGTTAGGCCATCAACAGCCAATGTAAAAATTTGTTGAATCTATCATGAACATGAGTGGGATAAAGGCTTGTTGTTGTTGTTGTTGTTGTTGTTTGCTATGATATTTTAAGTTGAAATTGTAGTTCATAAAATCATATGTAGTTTATCTAAAAATGTTGGAGTGGAACTTGGTTGGGATATAAATCAGATCATGGATAGCTTTCAAGATGAGTTGATTAGTCAGTCAACTCTTTTATTCGTTTTTCCTCTTGTATCTTATCGGTACGTTACATAATCACATGTTTTAAATGTTTTCATGTGATTGGTTGTCTGGCATTATGATTAGACATTTATACTTATTCAAAATCAAAGTTGGATCTGTGTATTGTGAGAGTAACTAATTTAATCTTTTATGTTGGCTCAGGCTGACCTGCATATATGCTGCTTGTAAGATAGAAGAAAATCATGTATCTGCTGAGGAGCTTGGTAAGGGAATCTCACAGGATCACCAAATGATTCTCAATAATGAGATGATTGTTTATCAGGCATGGATATGCCTCACAGATCAATTTTATCCGTATCTTGTTTTTGTTTTAAATGTCCCTGACATGATTCCATGTTTTGCAGAGTTTAGAATTTGACCTTATTGTGTATGCTCCATATCGCTCAGTTGATGGTTTTGTAAACAATATGGAGGTTTGTGTGGTTGATCTATCAATGGCCCTTTCTACTTGTTAATTAGATTTTGCTACTCACAATACATAAATTTCTCTTTTGTTCTAATTTTAACTCGTCTGCTACTAATAATGCATTCTTTGAATTTTTGTTATTTCGTGCTGGACATTGACCATTGGCATTAACAGGAATTTTGCAAAGCTGGTGAAGAAGTGTTTCCAAGGTTGAAGGTATTTGTTATTCTTGCCAAACGAGATTATTTTCTAGGGTGCTTCGTGATCCCCGTCAATTCATAGAATTTTCTGTTTAGAAATCGTTTTGGTTACAAACTTATCCACATTACATCATGAGGAGTAGCTTAATTTTTTTCTTTTAATAATTTGTTCTTTTTTTTTTTCTTCAATTGCTTCCCCTGTTGTATTCCTTTTGGTAGCCATCATGCTTGCTAGTTTTTGTGTTGCGACTTGCGATTCAGGCAGCTTTCTGTCTCTTAATAATGGTGTTTCTTTCTTTTGATGTTCTTATACTTTGCAGGCCTTGCAAGACACTGCAAGATTGGATATTGATAAAATGATGCTTACAGATGCTCCACTTTTGTTTCCTCCTGGGCAGGTAATCTGAGTATGTTCTGTAAGTTCTGATACTTCCTAAAGCATTCTTACTTTTTTTATGACAAGAAGCCAAAAAGGTTCTTTTTGTTGCCTCATCATTCTGACTGTCTCTAATTAATGAACTCCATTTAATCAACCTAAAGTAAAGAATCCATCTTATGCCCTAGGCTGTATATTCCACATTACAAATTTGCATCAGTAGATTTTCTGATTCAAGATATAGGGCCTTTTTGTTTAATATTAAAAAATAAATGATTGTTAAATTGTTTAGACATTATCTAAAAAGAGATTTATTTTGTAGAGATTTTATAAAAAAAAGGTATTATTTTATGTTTGGTTACAATAATAAAAAAGTGATTATTAGTTATTTTTAAATTTATGATATCTTCCTTGATTCTGTTTTATAAAATTATTTATTATTCTATTATTTTAAAATTTTGTGATATCTTTGCATATCTCATCTATTTAAAACACTTTCTTGTCTACTGCATTAGATTATTTTCAAAAGCTAACCAAGGTAGCTTGTCAAAATAATTAGACGTCTACTTTTTTTTTTGAATTCTGATTATTTTCAAAAGTTTGAACACATATCATAAAAACTCACTATATTTTTTTCCCAAAAAAATGAGTTATTTTTTCATAAAATAAGTTGAAACAAATGAGCCCATAATTCAGTTTCGTTTAATCTATTCTGTTGCTTCAGAATCTTATTTTAACATTTCATTCGTCTTCTATTGGCAGTTAGCATTGGCTGCTTTGCGAAATTCAAATGCTCTTCATAAAGTTCTCGACTTTGACAGGTTCTTGTTATTTGTACCCCGTTTTCCTTGTTCGGTCTGGGAAGTCATCTTCTTGTATACTCTTTTGACCAAAACTGAGCCATCTGCTTGGAGTTTCATTTTTCTAGTGGCACTGATTGCAGTTACCTAAGAAGTATCATTTCCCACCAGAATTCTCCACATACTGTTTCTGAGCTCATTGGATCACTGAGTGCAATTGACTCGTTGGTAATGGTTTCACATTCCAGCTTTTGTTATTAAATCGAACGGCGGATGAGTAATTCGGAATTGACATGTTGCAATTTAGCATTAGTTGGATATGTAGGTGTCTTTCATCTACATCGAAGAAATAATCTTAACTGTTTGCAGGTAAAGAGATACAAATTTCCTTCAGAGAAGGAATTGAAGCATATTAATCGGAAATTGAAATCTTGTTGGGGTCTCAGCTCAAATGACGAGTATTTTCTGAGCCCTTATGTGTCCCGTGTTCTGCTATTTTTGGGAGTTGTACAAAAATTTTTTTTTTGTTCTGTAGGGGTAAAAAACGTGAGAAGAAATCAAAGCACAAGTCCAAAAAAGGCTCCAACGAATCTAAGCTTCTGTGATACGCCTTGCTCATCTAAATTGTGTCGAGGAAAGATGCTGCACCGCTCCACGGAGTGTTTCTCTTCATCTATGGTGCCGGAGATTGGTCGCTTTTTGTTATTCTGGTCGAACACTCCAGTTGTCGACTGCAAACAAAATTCCCTACACATCATATTAAGGACTGAAATTTTGTCGTGTAATTTCCAGAGGATAACAGCCGAGGAAATTGGACTGAATCTACGGTTTGAACTCAAAACATTATGCATTAGTCGTAGTTTTATTGTTTAATCTAAAATGTATTTCAAAAAAACGTTTAATCTTGAAAATTAGCTTTCACAAATTTCTTTCAGATTTTATGTAAACAGGGCATGTCTGCATGTAATGTGTATGGTGTATGAGTAATTAATATTATTGTCACGGCCACCAAATTAAGGTGTGTTGATATTGTTTTTATAAATTTTATTTTATTTATAACGGTCTATTATCATTTAAAAACACTTTGGTTAATTTATATTTTAAACATTAACAAAATAATTAATAATTTAATATCATTTATGTGAAATAAAATTTAGTGGGGGTTGTGTTGTATTCATTCATTCCATTGATTCGTGTAATATTACAAGCTTTTTTTGATTTTGTTTTATGCTTTCAAGATAATTTTGACAAAAAATTCAGAACTAAGTTTTGAAAATAAGAAATAATTTTTTTAAATTATTATTTTGAAAAATATATTTAAATTGGTAAAGAAATGGTGGAAGAATATTTTATTTTATTAATTTAATTGTCAGTAATAAAAGGATGATATGTTTTGTATTTTCTCTATTTTTACACAAAAAAAGTAACAAAACATTCAAAATATTATAAACATTATGTTATGGATAATTATAATTCATATCTCTTAGAATTTTTATATTATTAATATTTTAATGAATAAGTTAGAGGTAGTTTCTTATAATTAATATTCTACAACTTTTGAAAGTTATATAATGTATCATTATATATCTTTTTATGTATTTATAATACTAGAATAGAATTTTAATGGTTTGAGGCTTATAAATAGATATTATATTCAAACCATATGAATTTAAATAAATAAGAGGCTCTCTTTCATTGTTTTCTCTCTCATTTCTTATCTTGTTTTATTTTTTTTAATTTTAATATGAATTATATTTTATAACATATTATCAACATAAATTAACTCTAAAATAAAATATGATCTTTTAAATTAATATATTTTTGTATTGTATATAATTATTTTATATTACTAATCTATTAACATTCATAATTATATTGTTTATACATTTGCCAAGTTATATTTTATTGTTTTATTTTACTTTATTTTCCCTTTCTTTGTTACAAAGTGATTTTACGTTATGTTTCTATTAACATTCATAATTACACTCTATTTCATTCATTTAAAAATAATCATGTAGTTAGCGATTTAATTCAATATAGTCTTATCAATCATTCATTGCTTTATTTTTATTGTTTGTTGTTTTATATTTATATGAAGATTGGTATACTTATTATTCCTTCTTTACATATGATGTCATTTTTTTTTCAGTCCTCCATTAAATTAATACTATATATATATATATATGATTATGTGATTATATATATAGATATATATATTAGGATCCATTTATATTGTTAATATAATTTATTTTAATTTTTAATATCATATGAATTATTTACTTTATTGATTATTTTTTTTGCTTTACTGTGTTTCTTTATTTTTATAGTGCTTTATTTGTTTAGTATGTTTGTTTGTTTATATTTGTATTTGTTTTATATTTTGCTTCATTATGAATTACATTTTATAATTTATTTATTGTTTTAGTGTGTGTAGGATTCTTTTTATTACAATATTTATTTATTATGCTTTATTTATTAATTTTGTCATAATTTGAATTGTTATTATTATTTTAGCTTGAATTATAACAAATCTTACTATACTTGAATTTTTTAGCTCTTAATATTACAAGAAAGAATTATCTGCCTTAAATGCTAAGGGCTGAAATTTACTTAGATGTTAAAGGTTTAGGGGAAAAAAAAAATTACCTAGCAATGAATCAACTAGTCAAGAGAAGGCCAAAGTACTTATTTTCCTTCTCCATCATCTTCATGAAGGGTTAAAAACTAAATACTAAAAATAAAAGATCAACTAGAATTGTGGAATAATATGAAAGAAAGATATGACTACTTGAAAATGATAATTTTGAAAACTATAAGTAAATATAATTTAGTAGTTTTTAAAATAAGTTCTAAGTTAAAATTATGTGGTGAAAAAAAAGTAATGGTGATTTATTAGAGAAGATATTTTTAACTTTTCACGCTTCAAATGTACTCCTTCAGCAATAATATCGTAAAAAAGGTTTTAAAATGCATTTTGAATCAATATCATGTCTTCTTGTGATTGAATAAAATAAAGAGCTATTGATGAAAAATTATAAAATTCATCCTACTAGATCAACTCCATTCCTTGAAGCGAATGTGATAATACATGGTAATTATGAATGGTTAGGACCACAGTCGTGGTCACGACTACGACTGTGGACAAGGTTATGGCAGGGGATTATTAGTTATTGTTATCATGGTGGTGGTGGTACTAATTATAATCCTAATACCCATCAAAAGAAGAAAAATAATGAAGGGCAAAAAAGAAATAAGAGTGATCCTATAAAAATTATTGAAAATCAATGTTATCAATGTGTTATAAAAGGGTATCGGTAACGTACCTTTTATACACCTAAACATCTAGCAAAGTTTTATCAATCCTCCATAAAAAAGAATTCAAATAACATGGAAGCAAATTTCATTTTTCAAAATGATGATGTTGAGGCAAATTTTGCATATAAGAATGATGGTATCAATGAGTTGGATGATATTAAAGACCTTGATGCCACGGCATGCTTGGAGGTGACTGATTTATTTGAAAATCAAGATTATAAAGGTTTGATTGCGAAATGATTAGAACAATTTGAATTATGTTTTATTTATGTTTTCATTCAGCTTCCTTGTTTTCTTCTAATAAAAACATTATTGTTTGGAATAAATTTCATTTTATTAAATATTTATTTTTAATACTTTTTATTTCTTTTGTTGAAAAATATGAATATTTTTCTTTCTTTCATTAGACCCAATATGCGTTGTGGAAGAGCAATTAATTGATGGCTTTAAAAGAGCAACTATAATATTACTCGAAGGAACAAAAATTATTACAGATGACGTATTATATTCATTCAAGTCTCAAAAAAATTTGTTAAGTTTTAAAGATATCCAGCAAAATGAGTATCTTATTGAGTTATAAATAAGAAAGATGTTGAATATCTACATATATTACAAGTTTTAGATCTAAAAGAAATGTGTCGTAAAGAAATTATCCACATTTTTTTCTAGTTTGTATTATACAAATATTAGTATGGTTGAAATAAATGCAATAGTAAATAAGAAGTTTACTAATTAAAATACATTTATCATTTAGCATGACTTGTTAGGCCATCCTAGATCAATTATGATGTAAAGAATTATTAAAAATTCATATAGACATTCATTGAAAAAGTAAAAGATTAATCAATATGGGGGTTTTTTTTCTCATGTGGTGCTTGCTCCGAAGGAAAATTAAATAAATGATCTTCAATTGCAAAAGTTAAAATTGAATCCCCTTACTTTTCTAGAATATATCCAAGGGGATATATGTGAATCTATTCATCCTCCATGTGCCATTTAGATATTTTATTGTTTTAATATATGCATCTACAAGATGATCACATGTGTGTTTGTTATCAACATTAAATTTAACATTTGCTAGATTACTTTCTCAAATAATTTCATTAAGAACATAGTTTCTAAAATGTGTGTAACATTCAAAAAAATTTAACCCTAAATTAGCTAAATTAAATTAGGGGTAATTAAGTAAACTAATGTGGTGTGTGGTTATAGAAAGCTAATGAACTAATGTTTATTAGTTTGTGATTTCAACATTATAATTAAGTCCGAAGCAAAGTTGGGATACTCTGACATTAAAAAGTGAGAAAAATAAAGGGAAATGACTCTGTACCATATGCCACAATGCGTGTATGGCATGCTACAGCACACGAATCATCAGAAAGTGAAATGTGCTTCTTTATACGGCATGGTTGCGTGTAGTAAAGACTTTGTGATGTGTGGTCAAATTTTTAAGCTTATCAGACATGATTTAATGCAAAAAAACAAAGGAAAAAGAAAGATAGTTAAGCAAGAAGGAAAGAGTAAATGAAGGAAATGTGAGGAGCTCTCTAGGGCTTGGGATTTGGAAGTATTAGGAGTGTTTTGAAACTTCTAAACATTAAAGGTAAGTTCTTTGAGTTTCAATCTCTCTTCTCTTCCATTTTCTTGAATATAAAAGTTAGGGTTTGTTAGAAAATATAATTTTTGATCTACAAAGACTATTGGTTTGAACGCACTGACTTAAATAAAGTCAATGAAAGTTGTTTATGTTAGTTAAATTTAAAATTTATGGCATTGTGAGTTTTGATATTTGTGGGGTAACAAATACCTAAAAATTTACTATAAATGAGATGGTTAAAGCAATATGAAGCCATTAATGGCTAGTTGGGAGTTTAACAATGTTAATGTGGCCTAATGAGAATTAATAAACCTAATTGGTATGGTTAGAAAAGAGGGAGTAGTGATTTTAAAAATTTAAAAGTGTTAAGTGGGTGTTGGAAATTATCTTAAAAAGGATACTAATAATGGTTAATGTGATTAATTGTAGATTAATTATAATTTAGTACCATTTAAGCTCAGCGAAGCTTTAAAAGTGTACATTTGAGGGGTAAACCTTTAACCGTTTAAAAGTTTGAGATAATTGGAGAAAATTTTTCTTATACTTTTATGTGTTAATTGATTTATTAAGTTATATGTTATAATTGAAGTGTGTGAAATTATTTGAAATGCAAGTGTGGCATAAAATATTTAAAAATCAAATATTATGATTCATGTGAGGTTCAATGAATTAGTATTTGTAAAGTTCAATGACATGATTTGTGTGAAGTTCTATGAAATAACATTTGTGGAGTTTAATGAATGTTTGTAAGTAGGGTTCAACGAGATGTTATGTGTTTATGTGATAATCGTGTGTGATGTGAGTGCTACAATAATAATGAACATGCTCATAAATTGAGTATTTTGCAAGCTAAAAAAATGTTGCATTTTATGTATTATGTGATCATGAGAGGCAAGAGTTCGCTTAAGAAGAGAACTAATGGGTTAAAATTCACATGATAAGGCTATTATTGGAGCTTGATGGTTTACCTAGATTTATTTTTTTTTCTCACTTAGACGACAAGGGACTAACCCATTATGTAATAAATGACTTGAACCTAATTTAGTTTTCACTTGTTGGAGGAAGCTAGTTTACAAAAAATGACACTTCATAGTATGAGAT